GCCACTTTACCCATGAGCCCCTCTCTGTTAACAAGCAACAAATCAAGGAGGGCACCTTTCCTAGTCGGCTCCCTTAGTCGGTATTCCAAGAAGTTGTCATCCAGATGATTTAGGAATCTTCTGGACCTGTTTGTACCAGCTGTGTGGCATTCCAGTTGACATCTGGTGAGTTGAAGTCCCCCATAAGGACAAGGGTGGATGATTTAGAGGTATCCCTTAGTTCTTTAAAGAATAATTCATCAGTGTTGTCATCCTGGCTGGGTGGCCTATAGTAGACTTCCATCACAACATCTGCTTTGTGTATCCCTTAATCCTTACCCAGAGGCTCTCAACTGTGCCATCACCAACTGCAAGCTCCATGCATTCCAACCCCTCTATTACAAACAACACCACCCCCCGCCTTGCCAGCCTTACCTATTCCTCCTGAAGAGCCTGTAACCATCCATCATGGCATACCAGTCACAGCACTCGTCCTACCAGGTTTCACTTATGCCAATGATGTCATATCTCTGGGACTGGGCCAAGGCTTCTAGCTCCTCTTGCTTGTTCCTCATGCTGTGCACATTGGTGCACATTTCAATTGCGGTTTAATGTACCCATCACCTTGTGGGGCAGTCTGAAGGATCTCACTAGCATGCAGTCTCTCCGACTTTGGTGTGCCATCCCATTGCTTGTCACTAACTGGCCTAGTTTTTTCCCTATCCCCCTTCCAATCTAGTTTAAAGCTCTGTCAATCAGTCCTGCTAGCTTCTGCACAAAACCCCTTTTCCCCCTCTGAGAAAAGTGCATCCGATCAGATGACAGTAGACCCGGTGACGTATAGACCATCCCATGACTGAAGAACCCGAAGTTCTGCCGATGACACCAGTCTCGGAGCCATATGTTGATCAGTTGTGTCTGCCTGTTCCTGTCAGTATTTTTCCCTGCCACTGAAAGGATCAAAGAAAAAACTACCTGTGCACCTGATTCTTTGGCCAATCGCCCCAAGACTCTGAAGTCTCTTTTGATTGACTTTGGACTTCTCTTTGCTACCTCATCACTACTGACATGAAGGACCAATAACAAATAATAGTCCAAGGACTGTTGGACATTAGATAATGACCAAACATTTCTGTGATAGACATGTTTTTTTGGGCACTTTGGATATTCCATACTTGTAATTTTTTCCTGTCAAGTTGTCAGATGTGGCAATAAATTGTCTTGATCTTTTCACATTTTTCCCTTAACTAAAAGCTAAATTTCTGTGCAAGTTTCCATATATATAAAATTCGGCTCATAACTATGTTAAACTAAAAATATTATTGACTGATTCCTTGGGACCTCTGTTGTTTATATGAAAGGCTGTTGTCAAGCATTTAATGTGATGGGATGAAACTTGTTTCTTAGAAGTTTAAGGTTAAGGGAAAGATATATTGTTCTTGTGCCACAAGATTGAATCTGTTAACATGGATAATATGACTCCAGATTTATGAAGTCATTAATGGAGATTTTTGAATACTGAAGGAGTAATTAATCTCAATGCTAAATATAAAACATCTCAGGTTGTATCTACAAAATATCTGATATATATTTTGCTGATTGCTGAAAGAGACAGAATTTGCAGTATTTGACTAAGTAGTGCTGTAGTGTTTGTTGGTGCTCAGGATCATAAGCAACAGCTGTTAACCCATTACAAGTCTTTCTGGGTGGATATTAGTTTTTATACCCTGTTGAATGCTGGCTCTTATGTAACTGGCCACGGACTTGGTTCTGGCAACTCCATTATTGTCTGAAACTTCTTTTTATCATTAACAAGTACTTTTGAAGGAAGAGGTTAGCTTGGCCAGTTATGCAATAAACAGAGTTATTTGATTATATATTGGTTATACCAGCTTTTGGTTATCTTCCTCTTTGCACAGATAGGTCTACCTAATGTTTACTGCTGCAGTCCAAGCTGTTGAGGAATTTGAGAAACAATAAACACCAGCTAGGTCATATGTTTTCATTTTACTGTCATGGAGGCTCAGTTTCTTTCTTCAGTGATATCAGGTGAAATAATACAGCTTTGTCAGATATTTAGTAAGAAGTGAAAGACAGACCTTCTGGCTTAGTTGACTTGCCACTTTTTATTCCTCTGGGATCATGTCCTCATATCCTCTGGAAGATGGAATTCAATTACTCTCTTGGGGCCTTCACTGTTTCGTAATCACTGCTTATTTTCTTCTAAACGTGTTTATCTCTAGTTGCCAGTAGATATTGTGATAGCCATAAGGTATATGTTTTTATGGTTGCCCAGATGAGGTGATGAGCAAATTAATAATAGTTTTCTGTGATCTTTTCAGTACAGTGTGTCCCTTTTTTTTTTTTTTTAATTTACATTTCATACACATTTTCTTTTTATGGCAATTCAAGTATATTTTAGCACTGTACTGTCACCTCTGTTCTGCAAGTTGCAATATCATTAGTGCTTTACCTATGTCTCAGCTGTGATTATTAGCTTTGTGACAGCTCACAATAGGGGCAAAAATAGATTATTCTTTTGTATCAAATACTATACATAGGCTGAGAGGCTTAAATTTTCATATCTCTCTGCAGGCAGCCTAGGTGGTCTCTTAGGGTTCAAGATTCCATTTCAAAGTAAAGTACTTAAGACTTAAGTGCCTAAGCCCATTCTTGGAGATCTGACCTGCATTAGATGTATGATGTTAAAATGTGGAAATGGTTTAGTTTTGATTTTATTCCCAAAACAGGCAGAGCATTATTTAGAGACAGATCTTCTCTTGGTATGTTTTTTCTGCTGAATAATTAAAAAAAAAAAAAAGAGTGGCTTACACTTTCTTTTGCCAATTTTCAGCTTCCTTCTCCAAGTGATAAGGGAGCCAATGAGGAGAGGTGCTATGCTGGATCTTGTTCTCACCAACAAGGAGGGGCTGGTGGGGAATGCGAAGCTCAAGGGCAGCCTTGGCTGCAGTGACCATGAAATGGTTGAGTTCAAGATCTTAGGGCAGTGAGGTTACTAGTCAAGGATCACCTCCTGCAAGCCCAGGAGCGATGCATCCCAACCAAAAGGAAGTTAGGCAAAAAAGCCAGTAGGCCTGCATGGATGAACAAGAAGCTCCTGGACAAACTCAAACACAGAAAAGAAGCCTACAAAGTGTGTAAGCAAGGACAAGTAGCCTGAGAGGAATATGGAGAAATTGTCCGAGTAGCCAGAGATCAGGTTAGGAAAGCTAAAGCCTTGACAGAATTAAATCTGGCCAGGGACATCAAGGGTGAGAAAAACTTCTATAGGTACATTTGTGATAAAAGGAAGACTAGGGAAAATGTGGGCCCTCTCTGGAAGGAAATGGGAGACCTGATTACCTGGGACATGGGGAAGGCTGAGGTACAGTACTTAATGACTTTTTTGCCTTGATCTTCACTGGCAAGTGCTCCAGTCACACCACCCAAGTTGGAGAAGGCAAAGGCAGGGACTGGGAGAATGAAGAATGACCCACTGTAGAAGAAGATCAGGTTTGAGACCATCTAAGGAACATGAAGGTGCACAAGTCCATGGGACCTGATGACATGCATCTGTGGCTCCTGAGGGAACTAGTAAATGAGGTGGCTAAGCCACTATCCATCATATTTGAGAAGCTGTGGCAGCCCAGTGAAGTTCCCACTGACTCTAAAAGGGGAAACATAATCCCCATTCTGAAAAAGGGTAAAAAGGAAGACCTGAGGAACTACAGGCCAGTCAGTCTAACCTCTGTGCCCAACAAGATCCTGGAGCAGATCCTCCTGGAAACTATGCATAGGCACATGGAAAACAAGGAGGTGATTGTTGACAGCCAACATGACTTCACTAAGGGCAAATCAAACCTGACGAATATGGTGGCCTTCTGTGACAGGATTACAGATTTGGTGGATGAGGGAAGAGCAACTGACATCATCTACCTGGACTTGTGCAAAGCATTTGACACTGTCTCATATGACGTCCTTGTCTCTAAATTGAAGAGACAGGGATTTGATGGAAGGACTGCTCGATGGATAAGGAATTGGACGGTCGCAGTCAAAGAGTTGCGATCAACAGTTTGATGTCAAAGTGGAGACAGGTGATGAGTGGTATTCCTTAGGGGTCTGTATTGAGACCAGCACTGTTTAATATCTTTGTCGGCAATATCGACAGTAGGACTGAATGCACCCTCAGCAAGTTTGTTGATGACACCAAGCTCTGTGGTGCACTCAACACACTAGAGGGATGGAGAGAGCTCAGGCTTGAGAGGTGGGCCTGTGCGAACTTCATGAAGTTCAACAAGGCCAAGTGCAAGGATCTGCACATGGGTGGGTTAGTCCCCTATAGCAATACAGACTAAGGGATTGTGAACCTGGGTTAAAGTACCAGATTAAAATGTTTTTATTTTGGTGGATGAGAAACTGGACATGATCTGGTAATGTGTGCTTGCAGCCCAGAAAGCCAATCGTATCCTGCCTGCATCAAAAGCAGCATGAACAGCAGGTCGAGGGAGGTGATTCTCCACCTCTGCTCTGCTCTCATGAGACCCCACCTGGAGTACTGCCTTCAGTTCTGGGGCCTCCAACACAAGGAGGACATGGACCTGTTGGAGTGAGTCCAGAGGAGGGCCACAAAGATAATCAGAGGGCTGGAGTAGCTCTCCTAGGAAGGTAGGCTGAGAGAGTTAGGGCTGTTCAGCCTGGAGAAGAGAAGGCTCCGTGGAGACCTTAGAGCAGCCTTCCAGTACCTAAAAGGGGCCTACAAGAAACCTGGGGAGGGTCTTTTTACAAGGGCATGTAGTGATAGGACAAGGGGCAATGGCTTTAAACTGGAAGAGAGAAGATTTAGATTAGATATTAAGAAGAAATTCTTCACTGCGAAGGTAGTGAGGCACTGGAACAGGTTGCCCAGAGAAGTTGTGGATGCCCCATCCCTGGAAGTGTTCCAGGGGAGGGTGGATGGGGCTTTGAGCAACCTGGTCTAGTGAAAGGTGTCCCTGCCCATGGCAGGGTGTTGGAACTAGATGATATTTAAGGTCCCTTCCAACCCAAACCATTCTATGATCTTATTCAATATTTTTGAAAGGATATTTTTTTTCTGCTTTGCAGGATGAAAAACAGAACGTTGGAAGTTAATTTTAGTGCTTTACCAGAGGTCACACAGTAGATTGTGATGGAAGAAACCTGAAACACAAACTAGATTTCTAATGTCTCAGAGTTGTGCTTTACTCATTCAACCATGCTGATCTTATTTTTCCAGATATTCTCTATTCCCTTTTATTTGATTATATTCTGCATTTTGAATGGATAGCTTCAGTTATGAACCATTGGTCTTAATTTGAACCTCCTCAATCAAAAGACAAAAACTTCCTGGGATTTAATTCCCTAAAATTTTAAGGAAATGTATTTGTAGGCTTAAAACACACATTAATGAGTTAAAAATTCATTTTTATGAATTTAAGACTGTTGATGTTACAATGCATAAACCCTTTGAGTTAAGCAGAAGGTTATGGTGAAGAAGGTATAAAATAACTATGTCTTTCTCTTTCCTCAGCAATATCTTGTGGAATTCCTAAAGCTCCATTAAATGGTGGGATATTAACAACAGATTACTTAGTTGGCACTCGTGTTACTTATTTTTGCAATGATGGATATAGACTGTCAGCCAAGGAACTTACTACTGCAGTCTGCCAGCCAGATGGTACCTGGAGCAATCACAATAAAACACCTCGCTGTGTAGGTAAGTAACATGTAAAAACTCTCCAGCTAGTAGGAACCTGGCTGTAGATTTTGTTTATTTATCCAAGGCACAAATCTTCACATTACTTAAACTTTCAGCTTCAGTTACTTTGATCTATGAATAATTACGGGTATTAAATTATTGTGAAACACATATTTGAAATGTATATATCTGAAATACATATTGAAACATTCTGTGAGAGCAGAAGAAATACACTGGAGATTATAGAATATATTCAAACTGATAATTAATTTACAGCTAAATCAAAGTTAATGGTTGCAGAGGTTTATGCAAAAGTCATCTCTTCAGTGAAAGCTGCATCGTTCATATACTGTTAACAAACCCTATTTACTATTCAGAATTGCAAAGTTCCTGGTACTCTGGGATACTTGTTTGAAACTACTACTTATTATTTATATTCACACCATCATTATAATCCTACACCATCTAAACTTGGGGGAACATCATTGAAGAGAAAATGCGTGTTCAGTTCCAAAGAGAAGTGGCTACCATCAGTTATAAATGGGGTACGAAATCCCAGGTGATCGTAAGAGTGATACAGAAATGTCAGAGTGTCTGATGCACATTAAGATTTGGATTATCTCACCCAGTGAATTTTGGAAAGGAAAGAAAACATACCCTAGAATAATTTTCAAGGATTTTTCCTTTTTCCTTTTTTTTTTCTTTTTCTTGTTCTTGTAAACTGTATTCCCTCATGCCTTTTTCTCTATCTAAAGAACCAGTCAGAATGGAGAGAAACTAAGTAGTATCTGACAAAGATTTTCCTCTGCGCCTTTTGATCGTGGAAAAAACTGTTATGCTTGTTAGCCTTTTTCTATTAGGTTGGGGTTGTAGAACATTTTTATTTGGTTTTTGGAGGAAGAACAAGTAGAGTTTAGACATGAGATAAAAATTCACAGCTGCTGAAAAAACAGCTTGGATACAGATATTATTTTATCTGTCACCAATGAGCAGCGTCTCCCAATGCATCTTTAAGATCTAATAGAATTTACCTGGGTATAAAAATAATTCCTATATTGAAATGTAGCTGACATTTTAGTAAAGATTCTGATGTCTCATGTAAGGTGTCACAGGAGTTCCATGACTATCAGTCTACAGTGAATTCAATCATGGTATAAATTCTATCTATCTACACCAATTGCATGGCTCTGCATAAACAGTCACTGCTCTGTCCTGGACAGTGGTCATTATTAATTAAATGAAAGAACTTGTACCTGCTCACCACAGGCAATTTCAAATACAGCTTTACTCTTCAAATATTATGTCACTGTGTTTAATACATATTTCTGAATTAATAATAGTACAGCTTTTCCTAATTTGTCTGTACTAAGCCACAAATAACTATGTGTTTTTGTTATTTTGGAAGTTGTTACATGTCCAAGCATCAATTCTTTTACACTGGAACATGGAAGATGGAGAATAGTAAATGGTTCACATTATGAGTACAAAACAAAAGTAGTTTTCAGCTGTGATCCAGGGTATTATGGTTTGGGACCTGCATCTATCGAGTGTCTTGCTAATGGCACCTGGAGTTGGAGGAATGAGCGGCCTTACTGCCAAAGTGAGTACATTTTGTACCTGCATCTGCTTTACAGACTTCAGATAAAAATATTTTATTTGGCTGAATTAGAAATTACCTAATTAAATATTGGAATCAATCAATTAGAAAAATGTTTCCTGGCTGGAATTCCTGAGTATCCTAAAGGCTATTATTTACAAATACAATCCATTAGGTTTAGTGACAAGGAAATATCTGTAAGGACACTTCTGGATTTAAAAGGTCTCTAAATCTATAAAGGTACAAATAAGTAATAGAGAACATTTTCCTATATATTTTTCTAGGTCAGGAATGCTGTATAGGCTAGAAAAATGCAAAAACTTTGTATTCTGTCTGCACACTTGATAAATAAAATGATCTCTCCTTTCAGCTGGTTACCATATAGTGTGCAAATCTACATCATTCTTACCATTAGCTGGCATCTTGATAATGTGCAACAGCTACTTCTCAAAAAAATAAGTAATTAATATTCAGATACTTTAAACAAGCTAAATGTGTGGCTACAGTTGTGCTCCCTTCTCCCACCCCAGTGAAAAGCAGATTTCTTTATGTATTTAAATTTAGACATCTGTTTTTCAAAACTGTGGGGTTTTGGGTGTGCTTTGAAGCCCCCAAATTCTTCCTTTTTGTGAAACAACACATGACGTACACTCTGATAGAATGGGATATGACTGTGGTTTTGCTGCATGTATCTAAACTGTGTGTATCTGCATGTACATGTATAAACCCACACATAGCCAAAAAGCAGGAAAAAAATGTGTAGATAAGCCAGATAACTGTGGGTTAGAATATATTTAGAATTTATTGAAAATATATTTGAAACTAATAAAAAAAGAGGCTGAAAAATGCAATGACAAAGGCAGATTAATTATATTGGCAATTAACCTTAATTTTGAGTTCTTTATAACCTACTGGAAATTTAATTTATAATTTAGAGGATTTTTAGAAGTCTATTGCAATATTTCATCTCTGCTAGTTTTAAAAATATTGTGTATATGTCTATCTCTCCCTGTTTGTATAGATATTTTGCATACTATGTGTGTATTTGTAACCCTTTCTTCTTTAAAAAACAAATATTTTTCACTTTTTTGGGGGAAAATATGTGTGCAATGTTACCACTTATATTCTTTTTGAGCATAAGTACATGAGCTGCTTTCACCCTTTGATAATCCACCATCTTGTCACTAATAGTAAAATTCTTTTTACTAATTTTTAAAAGAAATTTTTTGAAGAAAAATTATGATTTTGAATCAAAGATGCTTTGAGCTGTAAATAAATAACAAGGAACTCCATTGTTCACTCATTATAGCAATGTATTGTGTGAATGCTAGGGTAAGCATTATGAACTAGAAGATAAAAATTACATCATCCCAAAGAAACATAAAGATAATTTTTAAAATCACAACAATTATGATATTCCAATATTAAGAAAAAGCCATTGATAAAGTCCAGGTTATTAAATGGCAATTAATAATATTCTGAATGGTGGGGGGTTTTAACTTTACAGATACAATTTTAATTGCTCCTTCCCCTCTCTTTCTTAAGTTTAATTTCTGGGGTAGTAATAGTCTTTGTATGCAGAGTTTTTCATCTATTTTTTCTACAGAGAAAAATACTTCAAGGTGTGAAATTTATTTATCTGGTTTACTGGTTGATAAGTATTAGTGTATGTGTATTTGTGATACTCAGCTGTACATTTCTGTTTTGTTTTGGTTTTGCCATAAAGTTATTTCTTGTGGAGAACTCCCTACACCTCCAAATGGAAATAAGATTGGAACTCAAATCACGTACGGATCTACAGCTATATTTACTTGTGACACAGGATACATGCTAGTTGGCTCTGCAGTGAGGGAATGTCTGTCTTCTGGACTCTGGAGTGGAATTGAGACCAGATGTTTAGGTATGAATACTACTGTCATGGCTTGCCTATTTTCTTTCTCTCTGGCAGACAAAAGTAAGCAAAGTGAATCAGGTTGTCTCTTTCTGTTAGCACAGACATTGAAGCGAGTTCTGCATTTTAAAATGTGTGTGGCTGGGTTGTTTTTCTTATAAAATTAAAACTATGGTTACCTTTCTACAGATTGAATCCCTTTTTCAATATCGTCCCAACACGCAAAACCTGATTCATTGGATTGCTGCATATGTCTTTAAAGTAAATCTATATATAAACAGCAAGACTGATTCCAGATGTGTCAGCTTTAATACATATCCTCCATAAAATATCTGTATAGTAGAGCTGAACTCAGTGTTTATGTTATAGAATTAATCTGTACACCTGCAAAAGATGCAGGGGAAAAAAAAAAAAAAAAGTTTGTGGAAACTTTAACCGGAGCACTCAACCTTATTTCTGAGAGAAAATCGCTATCCAGACACTATTTATAGGGTTTGACACCCTTTAGATGTGTTACTGTGTTAACTCTAAGACATTGATTTTAACTCTATATGCAATTGACATTTTAGTTTCAGTTGAAATCAAAGCTATGATAGTTTTCTGATTTTAGAATGCAATATGAAAGTCGTGTTGTACCTTGTCACTTGTGGGGGCATGAGAATATAAAATAATATCCATAAACAGAGACTTTCAGACGAGTCTGAACTAGTATATGCATTAAATACAGGGGTATGTTGCAATATCTCCTTGTGCAGATTGCCATATACCTTTTTAGGCTACTCTCCATCTCAAATAATTTTCCCCTCTGTAATACAGCACTATTTGGTGCAAATCTTCACTTAAGCTTAATTTGAATGACTCAGGAATGAGCAAAAGTATTGCTTATCAAGCTACAAGTCTGAAGCTGGAATGTTTCCTGACATAAAACTGAGGGGGACAAACAGGCTTTGTTTATGTTTCACATTTACAATGAAAACCATTTAGCAGAGGGTGAAAAAAAAGGAAAGATCTCAATGTTTGATTTTCTTCTAAGTTGTTAGAAATTGTAAGACAGACTGTTTTAAATCTAAAAGTTTTGGGGCATCATGGTATGTGTGTAATCAAAATATTCTGACTTTTTTTGTTTGTTTGTTTTTACTGGTTTGTTCGCAAACATTACAGCTATTATAACTTTATGCCAAGTGAAGATCAACAGAGAAAGAATTGAATTTCTCCTACATTTGCGTGTAGAAATAAAAACATAATATAAGCTTAATAATGGTAATAGGTTTCATAATTTTTATTAAAACTTATAAAAGAAGACCTTGAAGTAATTAATTTTCAGATGAGTCAAAACTTTTTTTACTTCTCAAAGAGATTAATTATTATTAAGTTCATATACTATAATGTCCAGTAACAATAAACAGTTAAGAAAATGTGTTAAAACAACTATATGACTAGAGGGGAAAACAATAATATAAAAAATACATTTTATATCAGACTAATAGGACTACGATAAATCTTCAAATTTATATCTTCAAAGCTTTAATGATGGCAAGGTGTTGAAGAGAGCATGAATAAAAGTTTTACTTACAGAAATAGAATGTAGTACACATCACATATAGCATACGAAAAAGCATGTTTAGCTTGTTTAAAGAAAAAAAAAAAAAGAAAAGCTAGTGACAGAGCAAATTTATAAAAGAGAGAGAGTAGTGGCTACCATATTTGCACTTGCAGCAACACTACCTGCTGTGCTACATCACTGTGCAGGAATGAGCTTTCTGGAAAGACTCAGACTAACTCCGTTCAATTCTTAATTCTTCAACAGGTAATTTGAGACTTAAGATAGAGGGATAGATTCAGCTAATGACAAAACAGAAGTCAGAAATTTGTTTAACAAGGTTGAGAAAGAAAGTGTTGTTGGAAGGTGGAGGTAATGGAGAAAATTAAAGAAATGGTAGAACATGGGAGAAAGGAGATAAAATACAGCAGGAAGATCTAAAGAGAGGGTATCATAATGATCTGAGAAATACATTTTTGTGCAACTTATGAGTAAATTCTAGTGTTTGTTTTCAATCACTGAAAAATAGTAAGAAAAAAATTTAAGTTTCACTTTCTACTTCTAAAGCTTTTCTGCTCACAGCCATAAACCTTTTTTATCTTTTATCTTAGAACCTTTCCACTTTTACTTGCTGAAAAATATAGTTATACATGGACTCAGGTGGCTACCAGTGAATTTATATTTTAAGCTTTGAAGATGACCTAAAGAGTACACTTAGATTACATTAATGAAATCCTACAGGGTAAAATAAATTCCTTTTCCAAGTATTTTGTTTAAAAATACAAGTTATATTTCAAAGATGCTACTGAAATAATTTCACTTAATCGTTGTGTTAGACAACTTAATTTTCATTCTAGTTATGTGTAATTTGAAAAATTTATGAAAGGTGGAATAAATAAGAATATAAGTATCAGCAACAGAACCTAAAACTAGTAAGTGTTGAACTTGATTAAGTATAGAAGAGAACTAGAACATGAGTAAGCTTTAAATCACAAAAAAATATTCACTAAAATCCAAATTGTGTTACAACACAAATAAAATTCCATGACATTGTGGACAAAAGTGCATGATTTTAATGAGGGACATAATTGTGTCAGAATATGCTGATAGTTTTCACAGCCCTTTTTTGTCTTTGTTTTTCCGTTCCTGCTGCTTTTATTACAAGGAGAAGGATAGCACTTTATGGCTATCTTAGGAGATAGTAGATGGCAAAGAGAATTAGAATATTTAATACAACTGCCCTCCTATCTGAACCTCACTTTTTTTTTTTTTTCCCCCCAGAATACCTAAATAATAATATAGTACTGTGTGAGTAATCATATTAATGTAATGATCTTGGCTTGATCTTTCATTGAATGTAGAGGGAAATTGAGTTCTGGATCACTATTCTTGTTCTCTATAGCTGGTGAGAAGAAACAATGTTCAAATTGAAAAAATAAACAAAGCAAAACAACAGAGAGCTCCTGAAGTCATTCAGCTGTAGAAGTTTTAAAAACAAATAAATGTTTCACGAGGTTTTATTGTGAAAAATATCAAAATAATCACTTTAGTCTTTTAAAATAAAGTAACTGTCAAAGACAAAAACAATGACTGTTGTGTCTTCAAGGCTACAGACTGCCTATCACAATTTATTGTGCTTGATCTTTTTCTATACTGAAAACATTAAATCAGTTTCTGGGGGAAAGTCTGTGGAATAAATCCTGGAGAAACATTCAGAAACATAGAATAGAGTTCTGTTGAATATCCTATGCATAAAATGAACTGACAAATCTGTGTATTTGTTATACATTTTTCACGTGAAAAATATCTAAATATTTGATGAAGAAATGAATTGTTCTGTTTCTGTTTATATGAAAACTTAGCATATCTACATTATTTTTTTATGACATTAATTTTATTTGCTTTAATTTACTGAAATGAATAACAATGATCATTAAAATATATATTTTCGTAACTGTAAAAAAGTTTTGAGGTGTTTTTATTTATTTATTTTAATGCCTGTAATCAGCCATTTATTAGACAGAGCATTTCCCAGAATGGAAATAAATAAGGTCTGCTTCTTTAACTCCATAGTACTTTCAGATTTTTTAACTGTTATGTGAATGATGAATAAAATTTCCTGACATTTCCTAAGGTTTCTCTAAGACTGAGATTTTTTTCTCTTTCTTCATTAGCATTATTTTCAGACTTTTTATTAACTCAAAGGAGAAGCACTATCAGAAGATCATTACTTTTACAATGTCATAATTTAAGGATAAGGGCTACTTCATTGTTTTGGGTTTTTTTTAGCTAATGTAGCTTGGCAGGAGGAAATACATAGACAGTAAGCAGCACAATCTTTAAAGTGACTGTGAATAGAAGTTGATGTGGTGCAGGAGATCAGTATGTGCTGAAATGAATACTCTTGAGATCATTTGTTGGATTTTAAAATGTTTCCTGTATTGTTTTGGTTACTATGTCAGAAAACCTAGTTTAAAAAAACAACCAAGTAAAGCTAAGAAATAAAAATATAGCGTGCTTTAAAAAGACTTTTTGTTGGATCTCATTCTTCATATACTAATAGTATCAACTGTTTTCTTAGATTATTCCAAAGCATTCTGATTTCTTTCTAGGATCTTGCTCATTGTTAATGTAATGTACAAATCTTCATACTTCTCTTTGGGGGCTATGTAATTTTATTGAGTTTCTCTCATTTGTGTTAGTTGCATGACTAAAAGTAATTTTAGAAGATGCTTAGACATCACTTCAATGAAAGCCATGTGAAAAAAAGATTATTTTTAACCAGTTGTCAAACTCATTAAAGGAAAGATATCTTATGCAAACTTTTTTTTTGTTGTTAATTGGTGAGCTTACTCCAGCTTTTCACATTTCTTTAAGTTGTGAATCCATCCTCTGCAACTCAGCTGTACTACGCTTAATGCTCATTTCTTAATTCCTTCTTTCTCAATTCCTCCTGACATCTAAACATATTGATAAAACAGATCTGTTGATATTCTCTCTCTTATTTACCAAAATTAATTGCTGTCATTTCCTACATATGTCCTAGGAAAAAATCAGCAATTGCTGGAATGATAGGTGTGTTCAGTTCTGTAAATTAGTATTAAATCTGAAATCAAGATAAACAATGAAATACTAGTAAATTTTTTTAAGTTCTATAAGATCTCATATTTTGTTGTTAATCTTGATGTTATTAAATGATATGCTTAGCTCACTCAGAGAACTAACCACACCTTTATAAATGCTAAGTATCCGTATGAAATAAAATGCAGAAATGAAAAATGGAGTTTACTTGGTCAATGAGACATATGGAGGTGTGTTTCCAATACATGACTAATACTAGAGGAGTTTTCATTAAAGACAGACAGGTAGCAGAAAAAAGCTGATTGGGTTAGAGTGAGCATTAAATGTCAGCATTTGTTCATATTCGCCATAAAATAGTATCAGGAATACATTTAATCTCTTCTGAGAG